TGAACTCGGTGCCTCGTAACGCTGAAGCGCAGTAAGAGAACAAAGCAGTGCCTTTATCGTCCTTCGCTGAAGACAAGTCTGTAAATCTGTCCGTTCTGCTCTCAGCTGTCCCCTCATTTCCATTTTTGCTGCAGCACCGACACAAAAGATAGCCAATGCCCTCAGTAAGATCATTTAACATATTAAACCGCTTGGCAAGAGCAGACATGGGATGAGCCTAGAGTGGATCTGAGTAAAGGCAAAGAGTGTGAGACAACCTTGTCCAACCAAAGTAGGGTTATTTTTTTTAACCGCTCTGTAGTAACCGAAGCTGTTTCTTTCGGAAGACAGTAAGGTAATGCCATATACAGTTCATTTTTAGAGAATGATATTCTTAAATTTATCAAGAATATTAGCCTTACCGTAATATAATCTCATCCCAAAGTGCATTATGAACTATGAACACTAGAATCAGAAACTGTTTTGATCATAATAAAAACATAGCTATGTCTCGTTTGTGGAAAGTGGAGATTATTTTAATCAGCTCCCCGTAACACTGTGCAAGAGGTAATGTTACATACCAAAGAACACCGTATCCGTTGCAGTTTCAATTATTTATAGAATCAATGATTGCAATTATAATTCAAATTTCTGGCCTACAGACAGTTCTATTTGATTTGAAAATAACTACTGTTGAAAAATAACACCTAGCTTTCCTTGGCAAGTCAGAAGACAGTTTATTGTCTCTGAGAAAGATGATAGTTCGTTTGCATGAGTTCAATCAAAGCTGTTTAAGTGAACTTTTCTGTATCCTGTAGCTTGCAAGGAAGAAAACAGATTCAAAGCTTACCCCTCCCCTCCATGACTTCTATTTATCTGTTGAAACGCGTTTTCTTTATAAACTTGTATTACCCACTCAACTTCGGTGATTTTCTGTGATGGGTGAGCCCAAAAAGGTAAGCTCTAGAATTAGCGTCTGCCAGAACTGTTTGAACATAACAGTGATGCATGTGCAGCCACACACATTTTTGCCAGAACAGGCACAGCTTTTGGGGCTTAGTTCATGAAAAAAAAATATTTATTTTTATAGCGCAAGCCATAGGTTTACCTGTGTACTCTAAACCTTTTCTCTTTGACTGTTTGCACTGCACAGAATTATTCCCATTTTATTCATAGGCCTTGACAGCATCAGCCTAAGTTCTTTGTCACAAGCAGAAATTATTTCACCTCTAGAAGTGCAATCATTTAAAGTATCCTATACAACAAACACAAAGTATTTAACTAGCTAAACAAAGCCTGTTTACAAGCCTTATTAGACACCTCTCTGGTAAAATTTCAGCTGTTGCACCAAATCCTGAATTTGTTCTTGAGATAAGAAAACCACTCCTATTATCCTGCATACGATGTCACTGGAGCCCATAGTAGCAAATTTAACTCCAGTAATATCAGGTACTGCTGATATGTAAAAATGATTATCTACTGCTAATAGCCAGTATGTATACTGTGCACATCTATTATTCTAAAAGAGAAGAAAAAAATCACCACAGAAAAATGAACACTAGAAATGTGTTGACGTTCAACATGTGCTGTCTAGCTAACTCATGAAATTTTCAAGTCAAGATTTCCCTAAGTGCTGGCATTACGATTTAAGCACAGAAAACCTTCCATATTTTCTATATTATTATCAAAACCAGCGATTCCATAAGTGAAGCTGTAAGCTTCTCTGCTGATGCCCAAGCAGAGTACTTCTAAGAGCATTCTTCTGCATCCATTCAGGGTCTGTTAGACTGGCAACAGGAATAAAACCATACTGATGTTATAAAGTGAACCAGATATTACTGAGAGTGCAGATATGAAGACGGTGTGTAGGATAAACAGAACTACTTTCTAAGAACCACTTCTTAAAATTGAAGCACAATTTCAAGGTTTTGAGCTTTTTTTTTTCCTTTTTATTAACAGGATTAAATCTAATTGGTTAATTTTTGAAAAAAAAATTATAGATAAGACTTAAATGATGCAAAGACTCTGTTATACCAGAGGTACCATTAAATTGGCTATTCGTAATGCAACAGATCTGTGCTGATGCTCTGTCATGACATCTGATGCATTTAAACTTTGCAGTGTATGAATGGATGGTTTGTTCATTCCTGAGAGAGCTTGCCCTTCTGCAGTCATGACATATTAATATATTTCAATTTGGATTAGTATGTACTGTGTTATCTGCTAGTAGGATATGATGATTTCATATCCCTTGATGGTTCCAGAACAGTTCAGTATACCACTTTTTCCCTGGTCAGAGAGCTAACAGAACAGAATGTCATAAAAGAAGAAAAATCCTTTGGTACACTACAGAGGAGGAACCTTATAAACAAGCAAGCAAGCATATTGAGTATTTGTAGAATTTCTGGATTAAATGCACTTGCCTTTAGGAATCCACACAGCTTAAATACTGTAATGATGGTAGAGACTACTTGCTTTAAAAAGCATATCCAAAAATATGGAAGTTTTAAGGGAATTTGTTTTTGAAGGTCTTTTTGAAGACTGGCAAAATAAAACAACAATCCTGTTTTAGTGGTTGAACAGACTGCCATACTGATTTTTCATTTTTCTTTTAGCATAATCCTCACAAAGAACACCACTGATAAACTTTGTCAGCATTAAGAAAAATTGGCTCCCGATAGTACAGAACATGCAGCTAAGCAAGCGAATGTTAAATTTACTCATGATATTCCAGTATTTCCACTGCCTTTCAATTATTTGCAACTTTCTGAACAACTTCCCTGGAAACAGACTGAAGTTCTACTATGTTTGTTAAATAAAGGCAGATAAACACATTTTCTTGTAAGAGGACAACAAGCCTCAACACCAACCTTTGCTAAATTTTGAAGAAGAAAATATTATTTAGAAAGAAGTTATATATGAGCAAGCTCAGATAGAATGATTTTTTAAAAGATAAAAAAAAAAGGAGCCCTTGCCTATTGTACTGCTACATATTAGGAAGAAACAGGGCATATCACCCTCTTGGGGTATAACCATGTAGTTAAGCCCGTTTAATGGGAAGCAGGAATAGGGATGTACACAGCGAGAAATTAAAGAATACCTTCCTTAGAGGGATTTTAAAATTAGGGACAAGAAACACATAGTTTCAATGCAGTTTATATGCATTCTGCAAATCCTGTGTATTTATCTACAACAAAGCAAGCCAACTGGTTAAGTTCCTGTGTTTTTTCCTTGTTAGGAATATAATGAGATTACAACATGTGATAAAGATGCTGCTGCCAGTCAGTCCTATGCTGCAGATAGTGCTCTCCCATAACAAGCTTGGGAAAGGGGGATTTCATGTCACCCTGTTCAGATTTCAGGCAGGAGCATGAAGCAAAGCAATACATGCTGTTCAAATCCTAACAGTACTTAAATAATAAGGACTTTTTTTCTTTCTTTCTTGTCAGAAGAAAAATAGTATTTTCTTTTCAAGAAACTCTGATAACCGGGTATTGTGTATTTTACCTCACTATTTGTCATGGAGCATTTCCTTCTTGCTTTCCCTATGCTCTGTGAAGACAGTGAATCACTAGCAGCCAGACCTTATTTTGACCCTGCACTTGGACAGGGCTGCAGGTCTGCTTATGTAGAAGAAAAAAAAAAAGATTTAAACAGCAAGGAAGTCACAGGTCAGATTGACAACGTTCTAGCAGAGGTCTGCGGAGAAATATTGGGCACAAGCTACCTAAGTATACTTAAGCTGAACGTCTCCTTTCCCAAACGCTAACCTGAAAATGCTAGCAAAGTTTTAAAAAAATATAAATAAAATATATTTATGGTCACATCAGATCCTATGTACGGTTTTTCATGATTGAGGTTATATATTGTAGATAACTTTTACTTCAAACAGAATCGTTACTTATCTTATCTTTGGACTCTCCTAACATTTCTAACTTTCTTTAATTTTTTTTTCTGATTGGAAGAATGATACGCACCTCCTTAGATCACTGGATTTATTCTAACTTTTTGACATAGAAATCTGAGGGATGTTATACACTTGAGCACATTAAGATGGAGCCATTCCTTAACGTTTGGATTTCTGGCAACTAAATCTCAGTCTTAGTGTCTGTTTTATATGCATCAGCTACATCGTGCACGAAAATAATTCCTGCGCTTCTGTTCCCCCAACAAATACAATGATGGTCTCTTCATTAATAATTTTAAAATTTCTCTCTCCTTTGTGACTATTCATTTATATCGACTTGTTCTGCAAATTGCAGTGAAGCTTTTGAACACTCCTACTCCAGTCAGAATTTAATTCCGCTAAAGCCTTGACTCCACGTAACAATTTTGGACTGGATCCTGCTGCTGGGTGCATGGGAAATAAAACTTTCAAAACAAAAAAATGCTGTTGTGTACACAATAAAATATATTTTCAATGCATTATAATTAAGTTGCTTTAGGAACTGCAGTGGTCTTAATAAAAAGAAAATGGAAAGAAAAAGATTTAAGTCAATAAAACTGTTGGAATTAGTATGTCAGGATTAGGCCTGCAGTCAATATATGTAACAAAGTAAGCCTAACAGGCATGTCAGAAACACTGTTTAGCTGAAAGTACAGCATACTTAGGATAGAAGACAAGTAGCCGTCCAATCCCACCAAAAATGAGCAAAGGAAAATAAATGCCTTAAAAAAAATCCTTTAACTCCATAAGAACACAGCTCGCTTAGCAATTTCAAGCCATGAAAATAAATATTGTATGTGCATATCAAGTAACCTAGCCTGTGGGCTTGTAAGTAACCTAACTATAAATGTTTTTCCCCTTTTATGATTTAACTTCTTGCTACTGCATTTTGCTTCCTGTTAAGTAATGGAGTCAAATAAACAGTTGTTAGGATCTGGCTTCATGTGTTTACGATAAAATGACAAAAACCCCCACAAAATGCAGATTCTGAAAATCAAGTTCCCTTGGCTGCGACAGACTGCATGCAGTATAAAACAGAGGATGGGAACCACCGTCACAGAGGGAGTGGACGTACCGTCAAACAACCCATCAGGCTCTGCTCAAACGGTCTCTGGAAGGCTCTGGGGTCTCCGCACCAGTCCAGGAGCTCTGTTGCTGCATTATGGAAGTTTGCAGGGTTCTGTAAGTGCTGGAAAGGGAAGACGAAGCAACACGGTAAATAACATACTCAAGGGCTGACATAGTCTTTTCTACATCACATTAATGCAAAATTTGGAAACTAGGAACAGCATATAATTTGGAAGCAAGGCCTTAAATTGTACAGTGAACACAGAAAATCCTACTTCGTTCTTATTAATACTTATGCAGATTTTCTAATTTTCTGATATGACCTCATTAGTTAGAGGTAAGCTGTAGCTGAAATAGCACAGCTCGCCTGAATTCCTTCCTCCATAACATCACCTCTCCCACCTGCAAACCATAATGGATTCTACTCGGAAACCAAAACTGTCTGAGCCCAAACTGAGGGAAATTGCAGTCTTATGTTCAAAGTCTTTGCCTTGGGCTTATGCCCCGTTGCCGGGACACGCAAGCACAGCCATGCCTTCCAACAATCAAGATTTTAATCTTTGCCTGCCAGCCAGGAGACAAACACGACAGTCTCAGAAAATACCAGTGACAGACCAAAGCACACTTACTATACCGATCATGGATACTGCCATGACCGGAAATGTTTTCACATGCACAGGAAGCGCATAGAAATTTCAGAGTGGAATCTTACCTCTCCTGAAGAGGCTGGCATGATTTTGAGAGAAAAATCTGGTTTTGTTTTCAAATTTGCATGGGCAATGCGATTTCTTAACTGTTACATTCATCTCTGCCTTTGTACTGAACAACCTGTAGTCCTGTTTTTAGAGGCATTTAGTAAACTTACCTGATGCTATTATTCACACTGTCATCCCTCACTGTGCTACGTTGCCCAAGTATTCCAACATTTTAGCAGGAGCAGAGGGAGGGCGCAGGAAAGAAGGAATACAATTTACATGAATAATATTGCTACTAAATTCTCCAGTTCTGGTGATGCTAGATATTTCAATGAAAACTCCAGAAACAAGAAGAAAAGAGTGTATTTAGGAATTATCGGTATCTATTTTAAATAGTAGTTCTATAATTCTTGGAATTGCTGAGAAAAACATGAAAATGAGCTGAGCGTTTTATCTGGAAGGCACAAAACCCAAAGGCATCATTTTTAAAATACATCATTATTTCTGAATCAGTTGCATAATTTGGGAAAACATGACTGCTCATTTCTAAGCATCTGGATTAATAATAATGTTCACAATCTATTTCTTTTCCCCTCATCCCCTTGTGCCTGAGAAGCCGCATATATTAACTCTATGATAAATGAAGGAAAAAAAATTCCTCCCATGCCAGGTTTTGAGGAGTTCCCAGTCTGTGAGCTTTCGGATCATGTTACTGTAATTCTTATTCAATGAAGGCTCTTGGTCAGAGGCCTTGTTTTAACAAGAGATGACTGACATGTGGGGGCACGGATTTTTAAAACAATAGCAGAATTTGAAAAAGCAGACAGGCATTGTGCAATGTGGTTTTCTTCCTCTGCTCTACAGACACGGACTATAGCTCACGCTACCATCCAGTTTGATAGCTTTACCTAGGCTGCATTTCAGAACAACACTTTCTTGCCAGCTGATCATCTAGTTGTTGGAGGAGTCAGACTATTGCATATACAAATTAAAGAGAAGAATCCAAGTAAATAAATGTAAGGAGCCATATTTTAAGGCTTCTTGTAAAAAAAGTCCCATGAACAGAGCCAGCAGTTTTGGTTACGAATCTTATAAGTAAAAGGCAGAAGGATGCCTTTTTGAAGGCTTCATTTAATCCTCCAGAGAAGCGATTGCCTGACACTAAATCTCTCAGTGTATACTGCTCCTTCTGCACACCACTTTCATCTGCAGGGGAAACAGAAGTTGGTTCAAACCCCTCTACAATAGCACATGTAAGCTCTGCTACTATCAAACATAGGATTTCCAGAAGGCAGGAAAGGTGCGTAAGCTGGTGAACAAATTGCACAATACTGAACACATACTGCACTGGCAGGACACAGGTCACCAACCTCTCAGTAGGGAAAAAAACCCCAAACCCAAAATCCTCTTCCACACAGACACAACATAAAGAAAATTCACTGAAAGCTACTCAATTCTGTACCTGAAATAGTCTTTAATAATCCTTCCCTCCTTGGGAAGTGAATTGAGATCTGCTGATGAAAAGCCCTAAATAAGAGCTAGATACTATTTATTTTCACCAGTGTTGCCGTTTGCCAGCCACACACGACATCTTCCACTAACTCTTACAATGAAATTTCCCCATTGAGAAACAGACATTATACTTGAATCAGAACAATTTTTATAGGTTTAAGCTAACAAATGAAAAGCAGAGCAGGACCTTAGCCATATGCTTAATTTTCAGTTTAGCACCACATAATGCCAATTTCTACTTACCATGACACCACTGAAAAGCAGTATCCCTTTCCTAAAGGTCCAACATATATTAATTTTGCACTTCCCTGTGGAAGAAAAGGCTCCTTCCACCTGCCTGTGTCAAAGCAGGGGCGACCTCAATGCCTTGATTTTTTTGTCCTGTAACTCTCCATTGAGTTATTTCACTGCATCAGGACTGAGCACTGAAGCACGCTATCATAACCAACATCTTAAATACAGAGGGGATGCTGAAATCCTGACTACTTAAATCATAGAATCATTAAGGTTGGAAAAGACCTCTAAGATCATCGAGTCCAACCGTCAACCCA